TTTCAACTATAGCCTTTTATGTTGCTTACTTACGCTGTAAGCTTACTGTGGATTTGGCAAGTCAATGAATTCTTGTAATATATGACCAACAGAGGGCAGCATTTAACAAATTTAGTTTATCAGGTTATAAAATTATCAAACAATTCCATTTTGTATCACTACTCATCCAAAAAGCAATTCATTCTACCAAGGAATCATTTACATAACTGTAACAAATTTCATTTCAAAATAAAAATAGCAAAAACTAATAATACTGCTAATGTTTAAATAGTTACCTGATATAAATCTTGTGCAATAATTAACAATCTTTAATAATTAATTAATAATGTTTAATAATCTATAATCAATTTTGAAAAATAAATAATTTTCTCCATTTGCTTGGTCTATTGTGCAACATTTTAAGTTAATGTATTTTTGTGTATTTTTATGCATTTTTATGTCTTTTCAGGCATTTTGATTCCTTTTTCACCAAATTTAGTGTTTCTCTTTTTGCTTGTGTCTTCATTCGTACTTTGTTTTATTATTTCACTTATTAATAACTTAGTATCTGGTAATTTAATTACCAAATTGTATTTAGTGTGTATAAATTTTTACATTATGTCTTATTAGTGTATGGAATTTGTAATTGTAAATTTGATGCAATTCAGCTACAGAATTTATCAATTAAATATTTAATAAAATTAAAATTGAAAAATGAATAATTTATTTCAAAAATAGTAAAATTGTCCATATATTGGAAATTATCTTCATGAACCAACATTGAAAACAAACATTATGTTAAATTTTAAGTGATATAAATTTAACTGCCTGTTTTGGGTTAAATTCATTTCCTTACACATGACTGTGTAATATTACAACACACTATGCGCAGTAGTTTGAGGAAATATTATGACCTTTCACGCTTGCACATTAAACAGCAAATCATTAGGAAGATGAACCTCTGATCTTTAGATTGGAAACCTAACACCTACACTAACAGCAGTGTCAGCACATAGGAGTATTTCCATGTTCATCTTAAATGACTGGATAGAGCACACTAAGCTGGGTATTAAACCTTTTTAAGCTGGTAGCCACTTCCAATCTGTTGAGACCAGCAGCGACATAAATTGTGTACTTCCAATTTTAAATGTCAACCAACACAACCCCAACCATTCTCTTCTACAGGACTACAAGTCTTCCTAATAAGCCTATTATAGCCTTGGTTATTTCAACATCAACTATGATAGCCCTTGTTTGAAAAAGTGAGGGAATGCAAACATAGCACTGAGAATGGGATGAGAAAAAAAAAAAAAAACATCCTACCCTACCACTAGAAATTTCCAAGCACAGAATCTATACTCATGTACTGTACTAAGAGGTCAAAAATAATGACGGCGCAGAAATTCCCCGATGAGGAGTCAGATACCCTGAAAACAACCCCTTAGGGTTTTCAGGTTGTAAGAATAAACTACATAGTTTGTATGATTCAAGTAGCCAGGCATGCATTTTGCCGGCCATCAAGATAGAATGTTAAGGATTGTAGCCATAGCAACATACTGTAATACATTTTTTTTTTTAATCATCACTCTCAGTTTAAAAATTTTATGTAATACCAGTTAAAAAAAATTAATCTTTCACTTTTAGTTGAATCCTATTTCATTTTAAGCATACTAAATTAAGAGCTAACTTACATACTTAATGTGTGCTGTTACTTTTATCATATCAGATTATTTCATGACGTAGTATACAGTATTTAATGAATAGAGGAGATATGCTCTAACAAAAGTGGAATTCCTGTCAACACTTTCTATGGAATTATAGAAAATATAACAGATTAAAATCTGCTGCGTGGCTATAGGCTATATATAGCCAGGTCACTATTGTACTTTAAATACTAACAAGTTTTAGGCAACATTTAGATTAAATCTCCTAACATAAAAAAAGTTGTCATTCATTTTACATGAATGTGAAAAAAAAAACATAAAATGTTGAAAAATATTGAAGGGGGGAAAAAAGGGGAAAACAGAGGGAAGATACAGGAAAAACCACCAAAACAAAAACAATGAATGTATGATTTAGCTACATGAAGTCTGACCTGAATGAACTGGAGGATATAATAATAGAAATGGAAATTCCACAATACAGTTTGTGTGTATGTTTGTGAATAGATTTTGCACAATGAGGAAGTTTCAAGATTAGGGCAGAATTAACTAGTATGATGAAATGATGAAACCATGCTTAGTGGTTAAGGATAAGATGCTTCACTTTCTAACCCAGGGTCCTGGGTTCAATTCCTGTCAAGTAACCGGATTCCTTGTGACTAATAATATAACTTAATTTATACACTGTAGAATATTACATGTCAAATGTTTGTCTTGTGAAAGAGATTGTAACCTACAGGAACATGTGAAACGATCTGATAATGATTAAAATAGAAGCACATAAATTATGCAAGTTATTTCTTAAAATAATATACCTGATATATTTTGAGTCTCATTTTAGTTTTTGAATATAGTTATAAAGTACTGTATATTATAGAAACCGGGGGGGGGGGGGGTGGATGGGGAAGTTAAAGATTTATTTTTATTTTTAAGCTGATCATTTGAATTACATTATAAAAATGTGATGCTTTCTGTTTACAGGGTATAAGTAAATAAATGGTCTGTCTACAAAAAAAATATGTGTTAAACAGCCCTTCTCTCTTCTCCACATACCCACTTCACTCCTCAAAGCTTATAATTACCAGACACCAGATTTAGCCAATTTTCTTGGGGTTTTCTCGCATATTTTTTATTGTTTTCAATGTATATTTGAAACACTAAATATCGCTAAAATGTTTTCTCACTAATAAGAAATTATGTAGACCTGATAATACACTATATTCTAAAGCCCTTTGCCACCAACATACAGTACGATTGTGAGGTGTTACATATATCTTGTAAATCATTGTAGCCAATTGTACATCTTGAAAAGTATGATTTTAAAACTGCACCCTTAAATTTGCCTTTACGCTTCCATTAGTGACATTTAAAAACATTCAAATGTTTCAAGTGGCACTTACAACATGTAAAACCTAATAGAGAAGCTTTCTTGTACACATGAAGAAAAGTCACTTATGCTCCGCAATCACGGCCTTTTTATATGACCTGTAGTGTAACCTAGGTTATATGGACATGCAGCTAGTCTAGAATTGAAATCGGTAATAATAAAGAACATGCAAAGCAGCTCTGTATTTTGCATTGTTTAATTTCATTGACCCCTTAAAAGGCGGCAGCAGGTGTGAGATGGGGAAAAAGTAGGCCTGTTGATGCATACTCCTTAAAAGATCGAGCAATAATTCACTGAGTCAGTAATGATATATTTTTTAAAACCATATTCATAGTCAGTCAACATTGATAGTAGTACTGTAGGATAAAAAATAGACCAGTGACATAAAGTATGTAAAACTTTTAATTTAGTTGTTCCAAAACTGAAGTTTAAGGTTAGGGTCAAGTCAGCTCCAGCAATCAACAAAACGGATTTGTGTAAAAATATCCACAGCGTTAAAATTTGTTGTTATTTTATCAAATAAATAGTATTATTTGGGCATCATTTTTTATCGTAGCTTAAATTTTGCAGTGCATGTTGCTGACATCTCAAAAAGAGCCAACATGAAATTAGGAATGATTAAAAGATATTTTTTAGTCTAAAATCTAAAGGGCTTTTAAAGTTGTACAGTACAAATCTATTGTGAGACCTATTAGAATATTGCAATGTTGTATATTCTCCAAGTTTAAGAAAGATGAAGACCTTCTTGAGAAAGTACAGCAGCGTGCTACTAGGATGTTTCCTGAATATCTTCATCTTCCTCATCATATGAGGAACGATTGAAAACCAGAAATCTTCCAACACTAAAGTATTGAAGACAGCGCGCAGGTTTATTGCAAGTGTTTAGAATTGTTCATGGTTTTGATAATATTTCTAAAGATTACTTTTTTAAATTTAATGCTGACAGTGTCACTAGAGGCCATTCATATAAATTAAAGCAGCATTACTCTAGAACTAATCTGAGAAAAAAAGGTGAATTATTAAGAATTTTATTAAGAATTGGAATTCATTGTCTGAGGAGGATGTTAATGCTACATCCTTAAATATGTTTAAATCTGCAATTGAGAGGCTCTGGGCTGACCACCCCGTAAAATTTGCACCGTATACAAAGTAGTATAGATTGCTCATCAAGGGGCCAAAAAGCATTGTATGCTTGGCTTCTATACCCAGGATTACAGTTACAGTCATCCTGGGAAATCAAGTAAATTAAATTTATTAATAACAACTCTACAATGAAACTAGTCACTTTTCCATCAAGATATTGTGAAATAAAGCAATAAGAGAAAGGGAACTGATGATTGAAGACTGGCTGATAAGTGAGAGGGTGGTGATGATGTTTATATATTATAGTGTTCAAAAGCAAGAGGATCATATAACAAATTTGATGTGACCATCCACCAAAGGGTTAATAACAGCCATTATTCATACAAAATTTCCATTGTGAACGTACACAGTCTGTACAGACATACGATTTAAGCATGCATGCTTTAATTAATTAACTACCTACCTAGACCTACACGTTTGCCTTTATTTACGTTTTATGCCTGGCTGTTTTAGAATGTAAATAATTGAAAGGAATAATGAATATTAGATCTCCTGTAGAAGTGAGCTGCTTGTCTTACTTTCTATAGTAGTAGCGCCTAGGCCTCTGATTTAGTAGTAGTACTAGTACTAGGGCCAGGCCTAGTTTAGGCAAGGCCTTGCCTTGCCTAAAAGTAAATACAGCACGGCTAGGCCTAGCGCCTATGCAATGCTAGGCCTGCAGACTTTACTATTATTCTATTGTATTTATCCCATCATTTCAGATGTTTTCCGGTCGTTTAGCAATTGACAAGCCTTGGCTAGTACAGTATATAACAAGCATCGTACGGCGGGTTCACATAACAAGAAGAGGGAACACCCCCTTTCTTATCAAAGCGTGGAAGGCTACGTACCTGTCTTTTTCCACCGATCTGCTCTTCAGTTGGTGGAAATCAAATTCTTTCACCTGCAATTCGTCTAGTTTTAAGTCTGAAAACAGACATTCATCGAACGAGAAATCAGACTCGTCAAATCCAAGGTCAATCCCCGACTCTGTCATTTGATTTTGTTGTCTTTCTTGGCGAAAATAATACTTTAATATTACTTTCTTTCCAGCAATGTAGGCCAAAATTTCTGAGTCAAGGAACACGTAAGTCCCGATGTGTGATAGCTCAAAGCCCTGGATGTATCATGCTGTTTAGCACTGTAGCTTCGTCCCCATCCAAACGAGATTTGACGGAGAGTAATCATGTGATGTACTCATTGAATTTCTATTGGTTAATTTCGATAAACGTAATATCTAAATTTAGAATATTATAGAAATGACGCAATTAGGAAGCTTTTTCATGACGTACTTCATATTCTGCCTTCCTTAAAGCACTTAAAATATCTTAATCGTTTTATAGATAACCAATAATTAATCAAGATAGAAGAAAGCAAAGGACTGTAGACCAATAATTGATTACCAGAACTGACACACATTGAAACAGTGATAATAAAATCTCTACATAGGCCTACTTAGTAGAAAAAAGTGCTAATTTTTTACTGTTTTGCCTATAATGGCTCATGATCATATTATTCAACATTACAGTAGGCCTATTATGAGAGTCTGTAATTCTCATAGCGTATAAATAAGCGTAAGCCTACTCAGTAAACAGTTAGTTATTTCATTTATCGAAAAAGTTTATTAAAAATATATAGAATAATAACCATGATTCGGATGTTCAGTATTATACAGAGAAATGTTGTTTATAAAACTTGGGGAAACAGTGATGATGATGTCAAATTTCCCTCCATTGCTATCCGGAATTGAACGTCACACACACTGCTTTTACACAGTGAACAACACTGCGTTCATCATTCTCGCCAGGGAACAGAAGGTGTGACTCTACCCCATTCTCCACCACTTGGAGAATAAGCGCATCAGACCAAACCCACATGAATGAAAACAATTTAACATTGAGGTTTCTAGGGGGGGGGGGGGTATTCGAGAGAGGCGTATATTTTTGTTGGCGTAAGAGACCAGATTTTTATACCTTGTTTAGCGAACCCGTCACTCGCCAAAACTAAAACTCGAATTAAAACTAATATTTTATTTTTGGCCAATTAGCCTATACGTTGCTGCAAAAAAATAAAAATTTCAGAAAAAAAAAAGTTTTTCTTTATTTTTATTATGCCCACCTCTGCCATAACAATTTAAACCTACTATACTGTTTACATTTACCAATAAAATTTTATTTTTATTCTCTCTTCCGTCTGGATGTTTTTGGCAAAACTACTTGCTAAAATAGAATAACAAAAATTAATTATTATTTTTATCCGCCCCACTTTGACGATGTAAAAAAAGGTTTGCGAAATATAAAAGTCTTGCAAAATATAGAACACATTGCCGATAAAATGTGTTATAGTGATCATAAAAAATAATTAATTCCAACCAGGTTAGAAAAAATATATTTACTGGAGTAGAACATCATAGTAATAGAATATCTTGAGAATGGTGTTGCTTCCATTATTTGAGGAAAAAATAAACGCCTTGAGACAGGCGTTAGGGTGGCGTTTATTCCAAATTAGGCTCTGGAGTTGCGTTTATTTGGGCGTTTATTCGAATAGTAGCCTACGGTAATAATAATAATAATGATAATGGGATAATAAAATGAAATAAGATTCCCGACGTTTTCTGAATACAATAAATTGCATTCAGATATTTTTGTTGAAACATATATTTATCGAAATGTAAAATTGCTTTTGACAGGATGTCATTATAAATATAGGGACTAAATAGTTTCACTAATTAAATTGTCGAATGTGTAATATAATATTTATTGTATATAATAAAATAAAAACGAGTACACACATTAAAACTTTTATAGGGGTATCATGCAGCACTTTCATTACCTCTCTCTTCTCTCCTTCCTTCCCTTTCTTCTTTTTTTTTTGGGGGGGGGCGGGGGTTGGGGGAGGAGAGCTCTTCTTTTTTCCCTTAGATCCACCCCAGCTTGTATTGATAATGTTTGTTACTGAACTGCATTTAACGGTATCATGTGGATGGTTAGTGTCATGATGACGAAAAAAATCTTAAAATGTTGATGCCAGGCTATAGGACTGGTAAAAGCTACTAGCAACCTGTTTGGTATTGTTCGACGATTAAGATGTAGAAAGCCCATGTTTTTTTCTTTTAAAAGTTCAGAGAGGAGTTACTACATCATAATTTCTTTCGAGATCTGATAGCAAGAGAGACTTAAAGGTTACTTAATCTGAATATCGTTTTTATTTTTAAACCATTTCATTTGGTTCTAATTGTCTTTAATATGAAATTATCAAGTTGATTCCTAGTCTCATCATCGTCATCATCATCGTCATTAAAAAAAAACATCATCGTCATTAAAAAAAAAACAACAAAAGTAAAATAAATAGTCTTCGTTTTGCTTCAATAAATAAAATGTAAAAAGAAACCAACCAAGGTGTTGGTCGTAAAAAAATTTATTACTCGTTTCTTTTCGTTTTATTGACCCAGCTACCAAAACAACAAAATAATAATAAATTGTTGGGCCAGCAAATGGAGCACTGTAAGTCTTTTAAATCAGCTGCCCATCCCGAATCAATGTTGTTACATTTTGTTAGATGAGGAAAGACAAGACACCAACCTGCATATACTTGCCGTGTTTTTACATTTATTTGTCGAAAACAAATGGACTCTATTCGAATTTACGACTCAGATTTAAACAAATATTATCCACAGGAATTTGCTTTAAATAGGGAGTTTCTTACGAAAACGATAACGAATACGGTTGCATCATCAAATTTTTAGACAACCCTTCCCATACATTAGCATATCTGTCACGATGTAGGCAATTCATGCATTTTGCATGAATTAAGGATCATATTCAGCTCATACAGCATATAATTGTCAATAATGTTTCACGCATGATTGACGATAATGATATGAGGTATTCGTATTCTTTATCGCTTTCGTAAGGTTCCGAAATCTCCCTAATATCTCATCGTCACCGTCCTCGTGATCTCCATCGCCATCAATAGGGACCTTTCGATTTTCGCGACAATGCGACGCTAGAACGTAATCACTCATGTGTATGTGACCGTCCTGCCGGGCATCCTACGTTATCTGCATACGTAGATTTTGCCAAATTGCGTCCTAGAATCCACGCGACGTTCTCGCATGCGCAAACGACCTTTAGTGATGCTACTACGTTCTACGTCCTACCGTCGTCGTGCACTCAAAAGCTGCCTATTACCTCCACCACCAGCTGCTGTCGTCCACTGCAAGGCGAAGGCCTCCCAAGCTGAAATCAACCACTCCCCTCCTGTACACTCTCATCCATGAAATTCTCGCAAATCTAACAATATCATCTTTCCACCTGGTTTTGTGTCTTCCCCAAAATTCTGAGACAACACCAAAAGAACAATTCAAAAGTATTATTTTATTGCATTTGAGGCAAGAAGGGAATAAAACATAACACAGGAATTGAAATCAACCAACAGACCAACCAATCAATGAAGCAATCAATTAATGAACAAATTAATCAATTATTAATAATAAAATAACTATTACTATAAATAATCGATCAACCAATCAGCTGACCAATTAATAATATATAAATCAATCACGATGATGTAAGTACAATGGCCTACAGTGCTAAAAGAAAAATAAGGTTTGAAAAAAAAAAAAACATTTTCCTCAGAATTATAACCTGATAGAGCAATTGGTATAAATAGAATTAAAAGGAATTTTGCACAAAATATATCATTATGACATTTTAATTTTTATTCACTTATGTTTTACACAAATATTAAACCCTGCTGGACTAATGTTTTGATTTAGACTAAGGCACCTTTAACTAAACAAACACTATACAATACAAGCACTTAAATAGAACAAAGCATAGATAATATAGGTATAAGATAATATTAGGTATGTTATGAAGGCATATGGATGGTAAACCAGAATGTTCAACCTTGCTGAACACCTTCAGATTCAAGGCAGATTCAAGGTGGGTCCCCTACATTTTTCAAATTAAAAAAGTGGAGAAAAAATGAAAATTGTATTTGAATTTAAGTCTGAGAGTGCCATTTCCGGCCATCTAGAGGTGCTAAAATCATTAAAAAATTTCTGACCACAGTCCCAACCACGGTGGGACTGAGGTGGGTGGACCCTCTTTATTTGAAAGTGTCTTTCTCTCTATATATCAAATATATATATACAGTACTGTAATACATTTACAGTACAGAACATTAACACCTACAGTAAACACAGTACAGTTATATATACAGTACTGTAGTATATTTACAGACAGAACAAACTATTTAGGTTACTGCAAACTGTACAGTACATTATTTACAGTACAATTACTGCAATGTGTATGTACAGTATAATACATTTACGATACAAGCATAGTGTATCTAAAGTACGGCATATTTACAGTACAGTGCCGTATTTTAACCGACAACTAACATGAAGTGTATATAAATATATTTATTTCAGATACATATATATTTATAAGTCTTGGTGTAGTATTTATAGAGAAAAATCTAAACCGCCTTGCGGACATGCTGATTTTTCTTCAGCATGTGTCAGACACATATATATATATGTATATAGACAAATATATATATCTGCTCTGCTATATTACTGCATTGAGCACTCTTGTCTACATGATCTGGTTTAAGCCAACCACGCAGATTATATATATATATATATATATATATATATATATAT